TTTGGGTTTTTTTTTTTTTTTTTTTTTTTTTTTTTTTTTTTGTAGGTAAAGTTGAGTATGAAGAGAATATTGACAGTTTTATCAAGAAGAGCAATTCATGAGCAATGCTTATTAGCTAAACATTTGCTGCAGCAGCAGCAGAAGAGGGAGGTACTAGAGCTGCAGCGTCATGAGCTTGAGCAGCTGTTGCTGCAGCTGCAGCAAAAGATACGCATGCAGCAGCAGCAGCAGCAGCAACAGCAGCAGCAGCAGCAGCACGGGCCTGTTAGCAGCAGCTTAGCACTACTTGCATGGCAGCAGCAACTAGAGGCAGCAAATAATCGTCATAAAGAAATCCTTATACAACTTAAACCTCTAAGAGAAGGTCTGTCTCCTTTTTTTTTTCTGTCTCCTTTTTTTTTGTCTCCTTTTTTTTTCTGTCTCCTTTTTTTTTTGTCTCCTTTTTTTTTTTCTGTCTCCTTTTTTTTTCTGTCTCCTTTTTTTCTTGCTGTCTCCTTTTTTTGTCTGCTTTTTTCTTACTGTCTCCTTTTTGCCTGCTTTTTTCTTACTGTCTCCTTTTTTTATTACTGTCTCTTTTGTGTCTCCTTTATGACTGTCTCCTGTCCTCTCTCTCGATATCCGTTTATTTGCATTTGTCTCTTTTTGTCTCTTTTTGTCTCCTTTTGTCTCTTTTTGTTTCTTTATTTATATCTGCTGCTGCTGCTGCTGCTGCTGCTGCTGCTGCTGCTGCTGCTGCTGCTGCTAGAGAGACCCAGAATTAAATGTGTAGTATAACTGTCTCCTCTTTTATCCTTATGCAACTCATGCTGCAACTCATGCTGCTGCTACTGCTGCTACTGCTGCTACTGCTGCTGCTACTGCTGCTGCTGCTGCTGCTGCTGCTGCTGCTGCTGCTGCAGAGACACAGAGTCTCCTGTCTCCTAATTGGCATTATGAGCGTCGTTTCTCTGATTTGCCGGGAAGAATTTCTTGGAGAAAAGAAAATATTCCTTTTTTTAAATATAAACAAAAAATATTTAAATTTTAATTTAATTAATTAATTAATTAATTAATTAATTTAATTAATTAATTTAATTAATTAATTTAATTTATTTATTTATTTAATTTAATTAATTTTATTTATTTATTTATTTATTTTGTTTATTTTACTTATTTTATTTATTTATTTATTTTTTTTTTATTTGCTGTATAAAGGGAGAAAATATATATTTACCTTCTCTTAACAAAAAAAGACTATATTTATAATTTAATTAATTAATTAATTAATTAATTAATTAATTAATTAGTTTATTTATTTATTTATTTATTTATTTATTTATTTTGTTTTATTTATTTATTTTATTTTATTAATTAATTAATTAATTAATTTAATTAATGCAGTCGTAAAAGAGACAAAAAGAGACAGAAAAACGGACATGTAGAGGGAAGGAGACAGTTGATAATAATTCTTACATTGCTGCTGCTGCTGCTGCTGCTGCTGCTGCTGCTGCTGCTGCTGTTTAGGGACTGCCTCCTTGTGTCCTAGGGGCGCATGCTGCTTGCTGCTGTTGTTGTTGCTGCTGCTGTTGTTGCTGGTGCTGCAGCAATTGTTGTTGCTGCTGCTCATGAATAGCAGCAAAGTTAACACTCCCGAGTTACACAGTGCTGCTGCACTTGACCTCCAGGTCACCGATACAGCTGCTGCTGCTGCTGCTGCTGCTTCTGCTGCTGTTGCTGCTGCTGCTGCTGCTGCTGTTTTGTTATTGTGTCTTTAAAGATTTTTTATTTTAATTTATTTTGCTGCAGCAAAATGCTGCTGATGATAATTAAGAGTTGCTAGGAAGGGAGGCAGCGCCTCAATTGCTGCTGCTGCTGCTGCTGCTGCTGCTGCTGCTGGCATTGCTGCTGCTGCTGCTGCTGCTGCTGCTAGTGTTGTTGCTGCAGTAGAAGGAGAAAAAGGAAGAATTAAAGAAATAAATAATAAATTTATTTTTCTTTTGCTGCTTTTTATTGTTAAGACAACGAAGGCCCTGCAGACGACGCAGCAGCCCCAGATCCATACAAGCAGCAGCAGCAGCAGCAACAGCAACAGCAGCAGCAGCAGCAGCAACAGCAGCAGCAGCTGGTGCTGCAGCTGATAGTGGTGCAGCCATTATGGCGCATTATTTACAATTAATATAACAGGAAGAATTAACCTGTGGATTCTCTTTACTGCTGCTGCTGCAGCAATTGCTGCTGCAGCAACTGCAGCAGCAACACAGCAGCAGCTGCTGCCGACAGCCGCAACACTCACTGCTGCAGCTGATGCTGCTGCAGTTGCTGCAGCAGCAGCCCATGCATGCGCCTGTGTTGCCGACTGAGCTCTACAGCAGAGTCCTGCTTTATTTGGAGCAGCAGCAGTTGCTGCTGCTGCTGCTGCTGCAGCGGCAACACAGCAGCAAGTGCAGCAGCTGCGTCAAGACACATGGAGAAGAATCGAGCCTGATTCTTGCTGCACGCAGCAGCAGTGACAGCAGCAGTAGCAGCAGCAACAGAAGCAGCAAAAGTAGCAGCAACATCGGCAGCAGCAACAACAGCAGCAGCAGCAACAGGCAGTACAATGAACCTGCAAGAGGAGCTGCAACTCCAGGAGTGGGTGCTGCAGCACTTGCATCGCCAGGATGCGCTGCTGCTGCCTCAAGAGCAGCAAGAGGAGCTGCTGCAGCAGCAGCAGCAGTTGCTGCACTATTCGCCTAGACTGCAGCAGCCGCAACAAAAGCAGCAGCAACAGCAGCAGCAGCAGCAGCACAAGCAGCGGAGAGGGTCCTGGTGCACTACAGATGGCGGCACACGTGTGCGACAGCCTCCCTCGCTAAAGCAGCAGCAGCAGAAGCAGCAGCAGCAGAAGAAGCTGCAGCAGCAGCGGAAGCAGCAGCAGCAGCAAGAAGCAGCAGGCCGTTCTCTTACCTCTGCGATGCTTCTGCGGCTGCAGAAGCATCTACACTTCGTCAATGAGCTGCGCCGCGAGCAGCAGCAGCAACAGCAGCAGCAAGAGCAACAGGAGCAGGAGCAGCAGCAGCCACAGCAGCAGCAGCAGCAGCCACAGCAGCAGCAGCAGCAGCAAGAGCAGCAAATATTAACAGAAGACTTGCAAGAGGCTGCTGTTGCCCCTGAAGAGAAGCAGCAGCAACCGAAGGAGCCACAACAGCAAGCTGCTGCTGTTGCTGCTGCTGTTGCTGCAGGGACAGTGCAGCAACAAAAGTTGCAGCAGCAGCAACAACAAAAGCAGCAGCAGGCATTGCAGCAACAGCAACCACACCAGCAGCAACGGCAGCACACACAGCAGAAACATCAGCAGCAGCTGCTGCAGCGGCAGCGGCAGCGGCAACAGCAGCAGCAGCAGCAGCGAGTTCGTGCGGCATCTGCAGGCAGCCCTGCTGCTGCTGCTGCTGCTGCTGGCAGCTTGTGGGACGCATTACTAGCGGAGACAGAGAAGGAAGCATCTGTGCCTCGTGCACCAACTTCTGCTGCTGCTGCTGCTGCCTCTCCTGCTGCTGCTGCCGCTGCTGCTGCTGCTGCTGCTGCTGCTGCTCGGCGAAGGGCTGTGCGTTCTTCTCAGTCGAAATGTGCTGCTGCTGCTGCTGCTGCTGCTGTTTCGTCAGGAGCAGCAGCTGCTGATCCTGAAGCGGCTGCAGCAGCAAAATATGCTTCTGCTGCAGTAGGTGCAGCAGCAGCAGCAAAGGATGCTGCAGCAGCAACAGATGCTGCAGCAGAAAAAGTTGTTGAAGCAGCAACAGACGCTGCAGCAGCAACAGATGCTGCAGCAGCAACAGATACTGCAGCAGCAACAGATACTGCAGCAGCAACAGATACTGCAGCATCAACGGATGCAGCAGCATCAACAGATGCAACAGCAGCAGCAGATGCAGCAGCAGCAGATGTACCGGCAGCAGATGCAGCAGCATCAAAGGAAGCAACAGCAGCAAAAGATGCAGCACTAGCAGATACAGCAGCAGCAGCAGCAGCAGCAGCAGATGCAGCAGCAAAGCCGATGATGCCCCCACTGCCTCGTGCATACAGAGGGCAGCCAACGTGTCCACGGCGGCCGCCACTGTCTGCTGCTGCTGCTGCTGCAGGGAATCCTGCTGCTGCTGTTGTTGCTGCTGCAGGGAATCCTGCTGCTGCTGCTGCTGACGTGTCTGCGTCGGGGCAGGCTGCAGCAAGTTGCCAACTGCGTAGCTGCTGCAACAGCAGCAGCAGCAGCAGCACCACCCGCAGCAGCAGCATATGCAGCAGCACCATCACTACTAATACAAGCAGAAGACAGCAGGCCATGGAGAAAAGCCCTCAACGTGCCGCTGCTGCTGCTGCTGCTGCTTCGCGTGCTGCTGTTTCGCGTGCTGCTGCTGCGCGCGCTGCAGCTGCACGCAAGAACTCCGGAGACCCGTATGCTCAAAAGTACTTGGCAGCAGCAGCAACAGCAGCAGCAGCAGCACCAGTAGCAACAAAAGAAGCAGCAGCAGCTGTAAGACAAGCGTCGACAGCAGCAGCAGCAGCAGAACCTCCAGTAGTAGTAGCAGCTGCAACACGAAGAGCAGCAGCTGCTGCAGCTGCAGCAGCAGCTGCAGCAGATGCAGCAGCAGCAACAAGAGTATTAGCAGCAGGTGGTCACTGCCCGCAGCACTCTTCTGCTCCGCCTAGACAGCACCAGAGGCAGCGGGCGCTGTGCACGAGGCAGCAGCGGCAGCAGCAGCAGCAGCAGCGACAGCAACAAGAGCAGCAGCAGCAGCAGCAAACACCGCTGTGCTTGCGTTGCTACAGCCCATCTAGTGAAAGATCCACCGCTAACGTGAGCAGCCGCCAGCAGCAGCAGCAGCAGCAGCTGCTGCAGCAGCAGACTCGGAAGGCGGCGACAGCAGCAGCTACAGCAGCACCTGTTGCGTCTACAGCAGCAGGAGCAGCAGGAGCAGCAGCAACAGCAGCAAAAGGCAGCTGTAGCAGCTGCTGCACTGCGCCTCTTCGTGGTGTCCCTTGGGGAGGTTGCGGCCGCCATCCAGCAGCAGGAGCAGCCACAGCAGCAGCTCCTGTTGCTGCAGCAGCAGCACCTGCTGCTGCAGCAACTGCTGCTGCTGCTGCTGCTGCTGGGTCTGCTGCACATACACCCCACGGGAGTCGCAGTCTCTCTGCTGGATCTCTAAGAAGCTTAGATTGCCTAACGCCCCCCCATTGCGCACTAGGCCGCCATTTTGCTGCTCCTGCTGCTGCTGCACCTGCTGCTGCTGCTGCTGTTGCTGACTTGGGTGGCGGTGTGGCGCAAACAGCAGCAGCAGTTGCTGCTGCTGACGAAGAATCGCTGCAGCAGCAGCAGCAGCAGCAGCATAGCTGCAGAGATACTCGGCATCCGTCGAACGTCACACACAAGACAGGCACGCCTGCAGCAGCAGCAGCAACCGCTGCTGCTGCTGCTGCTGCAACGGCAGCTAAAGGTGCTGCTGCAATGCACTGCTGCCTACAGCGCTGCCGCCAGCAGCAAAGGGCAACTGAGGCTTCGCAGGCCTCTACTGCTGCTGCTGCAGCAAATGCCGCAGCAGCAGCACCTGCAGCAGCAGCAGCAGCACCGGGTTATACAGGCCATCAGCTTGCTGCTGCACCTGTGGAGAACGAGCAGCAGCAGCAGCAGCAGCAGCCCCGAGTGCTGCACAACCACAAGAGGCAGCAGCACTGCAAAAAGAAGCACATCGTTCTGCTGATGCATGCAGCAGCAACTCAGAGCAGCAGCAGCAGCAGCAGCAGCTGTAACAATACATGCAACCGTGGAGATCAAACAAGCCGGCAGCTATACAATATCCCGGCTTCAGCAGCAGCAGCAACAGCAGCAGCAGCAACGGCAGCAGCAACAGCAGCAGCAGCAGGTCCTCCGTCTAGTTTGGCACTGATCCCCTTCGACGGCGGAGGCCGCACGTTGGCCCACAGCGATCTGCTGCTGCAGCAGCAGCACAACGCGCAGCAGCAACAGCAGCAGCAGGAAGCACAGCAGCAGCAGCAGCAGCAGCAGCACGGGTTGCCTGATGGGCAGGGCCGCATGCAGTGCGAACCTTTACGGGTTGCGCATCTGTGCCAGACAACTTTGCTGCAGCTGCAGCAGCAGCAGCAGCAGCAGAAGCAACTGCAGCAGCAGAAAGTGCAGCAGCAAACGCCGCCGCAGCAGCAGCAACAACTGGAGCAACAGCAGCAAATGCCAGCAACACTAAATCTAGTTGCTGCTGCACCTGATTGCTTCTCCTGTTTGCCCTGGCAGCAACATTTGCAGCAGCAGCAAGTGCAGCAGCTGCAGCAGCAGAAGGTGCAAAAGCTGCAACAGCAGCATGTGCAGAAGGTACAGCTGCAGCAAGTGCAGCAGATGCAGGAGCAGCAGCAGCAAGTACAGCAGCCGCAGCAACTACAGCAGCAAAAACAACACCAGCTGCAGCACCACAGCACACCGAGTAGCCAGCAGTACCAGCAGCAACAGCAGCAGCAGTTGCGTCAGCAGCAGCTGCAGCAGCAGCAGCTGCAGCTGCTGGTGGAACCAGGGCACCCCACACTGCAGCAGCTGCAACAGCAGTATGCCGAACTGCAGCAGCTGCAGCAGCAGCATGCAGAACTGCAGCAAATGCAGCTGCAGCTTCAGCAGCTGCAGCAGGAGCAGCAGCTGCAGCAGGAGCAGCAGCTGCAGCAACAAGAGAAGGCTGCATGCGATGACCAAGGTACCCTAACCACAGCGGGTAGCAGCAGCAGCAGCAACAGCAACAGCAGCAGCTTCCCCTGTTATCCATTGCCATATCCGCAGCAGAATCAGCTGCTTCTGCTGCAGCAGCAGCTGCAGCAGCAAATGCAACTGCAGCAGAAGCAGCAGCAAGTGCAACTGCAGCAGCAGCAGCAGCAAGTGCAACTGCAGCAGAAGCAGCAGCAAGTGCAACTACAGCAGCAGCAACAGCCACAAGTGCAGCAGAACCGCTGCTGCAGCAGACTCTGCAGGGTGTCTGCTCCCTCTAACATTGATGAGCAGCAGCAACAGCTGCTGCTGCATCAGGTGCAGCAACAGCAGCAGCACCTGCTGCTGCAGCGACAGTTGCAGCAGCAGCTGCCTAGTCTTCTTACTACCCCGCTTAGCAGTGTATGCATGCCCCCGCAGCTGCATCAACTGACGAAGAAGCAGGAGCTGCAGCAGGTGCAGCCACAGCAGCAAATGCAGCAGCAGCAGCAGCAACAGAAAGTGCAGCAGCAGCAGCTGCAGCAGCTGCAGTGTTTTGCTCCCCCCCTACCTCATCCTTGCTTGCCCAAAGATAACCCTCCAGGCACTCTGCTGCTGGCGCATCTGCAGCAAATGCATGCAGGCCAGCAGCAGCAGCAGCAGCAGCAGCAAGAGCAGCAGCTGCTGTGGACTAAGGAAGTTGAGCTTATGGAGGAAGAGAGCTGCAGCATTAGCTGCGGCGATGCGCCCCCAACGCAGCGGCTGCTGCCTGTTGCTGCTGCTGCTGCTTCTGCATGCAGTTCATTGTTTGACCCTGCTGCGGGGCCCCAAGAGCAGCAGCGACAGCAGCAGCAGCAGCAGCAGCTTCAACTGCAGCAGCCTGCAAGTAAGCAGCAACAGCAGCAGCATCCTATGCTACAGATGTGGGAAGGCAGCACAGCAGCAGAGCTGCATTTGCAGGACTGGGGAGAAGAGGAGCAGCAGCTGCTGCTGCAGCAACAACTGCAGCAGCAGCAGCAGCAGCAGCAGCCAGGCGTAATGCGGCTGCTGCAGTTGGCAGCAGCAGGTAGCCGTCAGCTCAGAGAGAGAGTTGTTAGAGATCCCTCTAAGGAGGTAGAGATATCTGCAGCAGCAGCTGCTGCTGCTGCCGCTGCTGCTGCAGCAAATATGTCTACTACTAACACTGCAGCAGCAGCAGCAGCAGCAGCAGCCGCTGCTGCTGCTGCTGCTGCTGGTGGTCGTCTTACGGAGTGTACAGACACTTATAATAACATAATATAACAAAACGTTTGTCATTATAGGCAATCAAAGAGCTATGCATGCGCTTAGTTTGCTGCTGCTGCTGCTGCTGCTGCAACCTGGCAGCAGCACCAGCAGCAGCAGGATGTCTGCTGCTGCAGCAACAGTGCAGCAGCAAATAGATGCAACAAAAAAGGAGCCAAAATAACATGCATGCATAAAGCCACCCCTAAGGCAGCCACTGTCACATAAGAACCAACTGCTGCTGCTGCTAGTGTGCTGCTGCTGCTGCTGCTGCTGTTGCTGTTGCTGCTGCTAAGTGCAGCGGAGACAGCTGTAACTGCCACTGCTACTGTTGGTGTAGCCGAAAGGCAGATCACAGCAGCATCTGTGTCTCCTGCTGCTGCTGCTGCTGCTGCTGCAGCAGCAGCAGCAGAGTACAGAAGCAGCACCTGCACTTCCTCCTGCTGCTGCAGCAGCATCTGTCTCCTGTCACCACCCGTACTACTACTCCTACTACTGTTACTCCTACCGCCATAACCAGCAGCAGCAGGAGCACCAACAGGAGCAGCAGCAGCAGGAGCAGCAGGAGGAGGAGGAGGAGGAGGAGGTTATAAGTGTACAAGTTGATGTATATGCTCTCTATGTAGACATTTAGTATTATTACTTCTTCTTATCCATGCACCCCTAGCAAGAATTATATCTATGCTGCTGCTTATAGATAATTCCTTAGGTAAGGAGGAAGGAGGTAGACCTAATGATAATACTGCTGCTGCCTCCCCACCAGATAATGCACGTAAGGCTAATGCCACTGCATGCATATACACACACACACACACACACACACAAACGCATGCATATGCGTAAATTTGCATGCAAATGCATGCAAATACACGTATTATTGCATGCATGCATGCATGCATAAACAAAATTGCATGCATGCATGCATGCATGCATGCATGCATGCATGCATGCATGCATGTATGTAAATGTGAGAAAATATGAAAATTGATCAATTTAATTTCTTTTTGTTTTATTTTAATTTATTTAATAAATTAATTAAATTAATTAAATTAATATAATTAATTAATTAATTAAATTAATATAATTAATTAATTAAATTAATTAAATTAATTAAATTAATTAATTTGCATTAATTTAAATGGTTATAAGGGTATAATAATTATAATTAATAAGGAGAAAAAAAAAAGAAAAAAAAAAAAAAAGGAGACAAAATATTTATATATATACTTACGTGTCTCTACTACTACAACGGAGACACCATCAGGAAGAAGAGGAGACACTGCTGCCTTTAATTCATCTGAACAAACTAATACTGTTGTCTTTGCCTCCCCGTCTGCATGCATGCAGACAAAAAAGGAGACAATAATAATAAAAGGAGACAAAAGGAGACAGTAGTAATAAAAGGAGACAAAAGGAGACACTAGTAATAAAAGGAGACAAAAAAAAAGACACAAAGGGACAAAAGGGAGGAAAAAGGAGACAAAAAGAGATAAGAGGCAACAGTGCGTCTCTTTGTCTCCTGTCTCCTTATCTAATTTTATTATATTTTATATATAAAGGAGACATATATTATATTTATTATTATTTATTTATACAACTGTCTCCTTTTATTTATTTATTTATTTATTTATTTAATTTATTTATTTATTTAATTTATTTATTTATTTATTTAGTTATTTATTTATTTATCTCCTCTATATACAGCAAGCCTAAGAGAATGTACAAGACCTTCATAATAATTATTGTCTCCTTTTTATTAATTAACTAATTAATTAATTTATTTATATTAATTATAATTAATTAATTAATTAATTAATTAATTAATTAATTAATTAATTAAATGGAGGGGATATATGTCGTTCGGATTCTCTTACATGTTCTGGAAGTATTAAATTATTGTCTCCTTTTTATTAATTAACTAATTAATTAATTAATTAATTAATTAATTTATTTATTTATATTAATTAATTAATTAATTAATTAATTAATTAATTAATTAATTTACCTCCCCTATATACA